CGGCACATCTTTTAAGAAAACAACAAAGCTTAGGGGATACAATTCAACTAAGATATGAGCAAAATACTAAGTGACCGATATATTCTGGAACACCCGTTACTCAAAAATATCTTCACTTTTGTTTCATTGTCTTTAGAGTTCCTTGAAATATTCCAAAATTTGTAAAACAAAATAGCTTAGAAAATTAGTTCTTTTCATCATGTTGAGTATGCTTCGTTTCGTTTTTCTCCTTAACGTTTTATAGAGACAAGTTTGAGCAAATTTTGTAGAGAATTTGATGACGCATCTTTTAGAAAAACAATTAAGTCTAAGAATTGAAAAGAAGAGAAATTATGAGCTAAATACGAGGAGAGTCATTTATTCTGGACCACCCGATATTTTAGATCCAACAAGATTAACAGAAACGAATATTTTTCTCACATACTTTGTAATGATTGATTTCTTCTTAATGGTATGGGAAAACGAGGTGGTATGGTTGGTGAATTTTCTGATGTATAAATTAACGAACGAGAATCGGTTGTTTCATCACTACTATTTATTAATCTGAAATTGTCTTGTTTAGGTAATGGTTTTAATAATTTTTTATCAAGATTCATATAATCATGTTCATCTTTATCATATTCATCATCAACATTTAAATCTTCTAATCGTGATGAATTATTTTTTGAATATTGAAAATGTATAGGTTGTGATGGTATGGTGGTAGTCATTTGTTCTTCATGTCCTGATATTAAACACGGTGCAAAAATGGATATAAGATTATCTAATGACATGCCATTCTTATCTGATAATAGTGCAACTGTTCGTAAATGCATTAAAACTTTTCTTAATGTATAATAGTTCACGGGCATATGTTTTTTCATTTCACTTAATAATCCTCGATAATATTGTATTAATTGTTCATTACTTGATGCTGTTGATTTATCTAAAACTGTTGATCTTAACCAACAATCATAATTTCTTTTTGTACCTAATATAGATTGTTTTAATTGTCGAAAAAAACGTTTTAAACCATTGGCAACATCATGTTCTGTATAATTTTCATATGTTAATGATGTATTAAATGGATCTTCAAGACATTCTTGTAATAATTGTTTTACTTTAGATTCTTGACCAGCTTGTCGATATATACCTTTTGTTTCTAAACCATGTTCAAAAATAAAATTAATAAAACGTTCTATAATAACTGGTACATTTTGTGATGTTAATATTTGTCCACGTAAATCATTTAATGATTTAACTTTAATTGCTTCTTTTAAACAACCAAATAGCATATCGGTTAATTTTGGTATTGATGATGATAAATACAAGAAACGATTTGATACAAGACATAGTACAATGCCGGTAAATTCATCATTTTTTTGATATGCTAAAATAGAGAGAAATTTAATTTTTACACAATTATTGTCTCATCTATTAGTTTATTATTATTAAGAGAATAGAGAAATAAAATAATAAAACAAAAAAAACAAAATTACTTAATGAACAATATTTTCTTAGATCCACTTCATCAAATAATGTATCTGAACAAATAACAAATCTTGCTGGATAAACAATGGCTGTTGCTTGTTGTTCTTCTGAATTAATACCTTCTTGTACAGATAATTTTGTTAATAGAATAAAATCAGAATAGATTAATTGATGAAATGTATACTGTCGTTTTAATAATTCTCTTATCCATAGAGCACGTTCAATTTCATTTGGAAATATCCATTTATAATCTTCAATTACTCCTCTATCATCTACAATTAATGTTGATTGACATGTTTGACCAGAATTACACGTTGGTGGTAATCGAGATTTATTTGCATTTGATAATATATAACTTTGATTACATATTGCTGAAACATTATTTAAATCAATTTGTGTAAAACATCGTTTATCATTTGTTGTTGAATGTATTCGTAATATATCTGATTCAAATTTTGTTAAAAATTCTTTTAATACACCACGTGATGATAAATGAATTGTTGTCTCATATGTACTATTTGTATTTTTCATTAAATTATATTCAGATTGTCCACCATTAGCATAAACTAATTTCATTTGTTTTATTTGTTGATGACGTTTAGCATGATCAGTAACAGAAAACATTTTTTCAAAATAATTTGGATTTGCACCATGCATTAACAATTGTAATGTTAAACGATAATCATTTGTTTCAACATTTTCATATAATAAACGATCTAAATCATATTGATGATGTGAATTTATATTATCATCTAATGGACGTAAATAGTTTTTATTAATATATTTTTCTTTTACATATTGTTCACGTTCATAATCTGATGATTGTTCATTAGGTTTTAATATAGAAAATGAACTGTGTTCTAATAAACCATTTGAATATTCATTACCAAGTTCTTTTAATAGTTCAATTAAATCAGGATCACAATTAACGGTAAGTAACGATTGAAGGGAAAGAAAATCACAGGTTAAACGACGATGAACAGCTAAATAAAACGATAAATCAATTGATTAGATATCAAAGCTCGAAACAGACCGACACTTTTAAGGTCTAGTCTGGTTTAAGGTTTAGTGTCTAAGTAAAAAAACTTGATTTTTGTTCAAGTATTTTCTGAACTGATCTAACTAACAAGATATCCTCAACCGTCTCAGGATTTAGTGATACATGACGTTCATTAATAACAAATCCAGCAGCACTAAACTGCCGCTCAACACCGGTAGATGTTGCCGGAATTGAGAAAAGTAATCTTGCTAATAACGATAAATTTGGGAATTTCAATTCATTTTCTTTCCAAAATGGCAAGGATTCTACAGCCGAAATGCTAAATTTTGAATAAAAATACGCAAATTTCATAGGTCAGGCCGCCCGGTTTTTCAGAGGTCTGCCTGAACCTATTCCAATCTAGGCCTGGTACAGATCGACAATTTGTGGCCTACAGACAGACCCAGACAGACAGGCAGGTTTTCTGGTCTGGCTCGAGCACTATTAGATACATATATATTTTTTTAAAATTAATGAATAAAAACTATACTGACCAGCGCACTTTTTGCATATAACTAACATCCAACTCATAATGGCAATTGTTGGATGTGGTGAAGAACAATCTGCACAAACACAATTTGAAGGATTTTCACGTACAATGTCTAAATAGTCGGTAGTTTTATCTAAAATAAGTACAAAAATATTTTTATGAGAAGAATTTTTTTTATTAAATTTAAGATAGACGTACCAGCATTAGGAATATAATGTGATTTTGATATAAAATCATCGATTAATGGTGTTAGCACTTCATCATTTAAACTTGGATCTTTACTGTAACTGAAGTAAAAATAGAAAGAATAAATCAAAAAAATCTTCATTCAAATATTATATACTGTACATATTCGAATCATTTTCATTTTCCATACGATTTTTTTGTTGATGTAATTGACGTTTCAATTCTTTAGTTAATTCAGGCATTAATGCTACATTGATACCATTTATGTCTGTTTTGTTGTACTAGAATAAAAACAACAACAGTTAGAATCGTAAAATAGTGTACTAAACAATTATTTTTGTAGAAAAAATATTTACTTCGTCTCCAATGAACAAAATCAAATCTATGTTATTGTTGAACATTTTAAATTGAAAATTTATTTAAACTGAACGGAGTTTTTATGTAGGATGATATTTATTTATTATTTTCAAATAGTCTTTGTTTTATGATGACTAAATACATTGGATGAAAACAATACAAACATCATTACGCTTCGTCAATCAGAATGATGTCATTCCAATAAAGATGATTAATCATACATTGTACTATTTATTATGTTCTATTTCTCTACTTATCATAAAAAAAAATATATTGTCTTACACGGAATAAAGAAAATTTAATGAGACATAGTAAAAATGCTTTCTAGCTACAAGTCCTTTCTAAATATCAAACTCATTTTGTTTTTTGAAAAGGTAAAAATATCATATTATTTATCATATTATTTAGTCTACCTATCGGAGCCAAAATACAATAGCAGTGGTTATTTTTTGAATAACTCAGTAAATAAAAATAGAGATTTGCGATTTTCACCATTCGATAGCCGAGACTTGAGGCGATCTTTCTACAAGCAAGATCGATTTTTGGAAAAATTTTCGAAGCCGGATTTCCAGAGGATCTTTGGAGAACTAGCCTGGATTTTTCGAAATTCAAACAGAAGTCTATTGATTGCTTTGGGAGCATATATAGTCCAAAGTGTCCTCTACAAAACTGAATCCAAGCTACAAACAAAAATTAAATAATTCATAACTCTGTCAGAATCCATCCAACCTGCTTCAAAATGTCAGAAAATACTCTATTTTATCCGCTCATTCGAATTCTGCATGTAAACACGATAGAAATATTCTTTTAGTTCCGAAGGTTTCTAGGAAACCTTTCTGGAAACCAAAGTATTTTCCGTTGACTTTTCAACATTTATTCAGCATTACGGTATGTTGCAGATAAAATAGAGTATTTGCTGACATTCTAAAGTAGGTTGGATGGATTTTGACAGAGTTATGAATTATTTAATTTTTGATGAAAATAATAAAAAATGGGTTATTTCACCTAGTATAGGTTTTCACTCGGTTCTTGCATTTTGTTCTGAAAACTAACATTGCCACGAGATTCACCATAGTCGATAACCTACGTTTTCATTCATTTCTAACCGTCCTAAACCTAACGGCAGAGGAGTGCTAAGGCTTCAGGAAAAATGTCTGTAGCTCCCGAACCATGGGTTTTTAAGATGTCGCTTGGATTCAGTTTTGTAGAGGACACTTTGGACTATATATGCCCCCAAAATAATCAATAGATTTCTGTTTGAATTTTGAAAAATCCAGGCTAGTTCTCCAAAGATCCTCTGGAAATCCGGCTTCGAAAATTTTTCCAAAAATCGATTTTGCTTGTAGAAATGGTAAAAATCGCAAGCCTCTATTTTTTTGTTGAGTTATTAAAAAAATAACCACTGCTCTTGTATTTTGGCTCCGATGGTAGTAGTTGATATGAGCCATCATTCATATTTATAATAGGACAATAGATAATTTGACGTTGATTTTTACAGTTTAATTAGAACAAATTATATGAATTACTTTCCAATTTTCAAATTATATACTCGAACTGTTAGGTTATTGCACGATTGTAGTATCTGATGGGACTCTGCCTTTATACTATATCGCTACTATATCATTGCTTGGTCAAGTTCTAGCAAAAACTAACGTCGTTTAGAAGGTAAAAGGAACTTTCGTCACAACGCACTTTCGTCATAGGGGGGGTGTACTTTCGTCACATGTGACGAAAGTGCGTTTTTCGGAAAAAAGCATGGTGACGTAAGTTCCCGTGAATTTCGGAGTG